AGCGTGCGCCATCCTCGTCCTGAGGTTCGGACAAGGAGAGGGAGACAGCATCCCATCAGAGCTGAGGCCACTAAAATCACCACGTTCACCAAGCACTTTCTGATTATAGTCAGCTTTTCGTGCTGCCTTTCGTACAAGTGGAAAATACGTGGGAAAGCCAATGCAAATTTACACTTACTTGCCTCCCTTAAAAAAACTGATAAAGGCCTTCTGGCTTCTGGTAAACTTCTTGTGCATCTTGATCAACTCTGGACATAATGATAAAATTGAATTTATAAACCATCAAGATTAAAAGACTAGACATGGCTGTGATGATTCAAAATTGATAATGCCACTCAGAGTGACTACCCGACCTCTTCCCATGTATTCTCAGATCACAACAGCAATTGCATCCATTGGCCCTTGACAGAATTAGTAAAAATGACAGAAAAAATTATGGCCCAACCACATGCAACAAAATTGGTGAATTTTGCAAAAGTAATACAGATTTCGCCGGGCCTAGTGGTACACCCCTGTAACCTCAGGGTACCCCACTTGGGAGGCTGAGGCAGGAGGACTGCCAGGAGTTCAAAGCAACTCTGAGCTACATAGTGAGTTCAAGGCTAGTCTGGACTACATAGCAAGATTGTATCTCCAAAGTAATAATAATAATAATAAATGTAGAGTGAAAAGAACAAGACGTGTAAGGAAACAGTTACAATTTTATTCACATTTGGTTCAAAACCAGATAAAATTAACCTCTATTGTTTAGTGAGGCACAGTGGTACCTCGGTTCACAAACTTACTTTGTTCTACAACTTTGGGAAAGATGGCCAGGTTTGTGTATGTGTGGGAAAGATGGTCACAGTCATGTTTGTCACCCAATACAGAGTTTGCAGACAAAAGCAAAATTTTGCCAAACGCTTCTGTTTGCCAACGAAATAGCTTGAAAACAAAAGCATGCATGCACCAAGATACCACTGTAGATGGACATAAAGACAATGCAGAAAAACAATGACAAGTGTATCAACATAGTGTTTACTTTTAATTCTGCAAGGCGTGATGAGTTGGTATTTGGAAAGATATGCAAGGGGTTTCTGTGTTGTGGACACTGCTCTATTGCTTGCTCTCAGTGGGCCTACTTTATTATTGTTCATATATCTGTGCTTAACATGGGTTTGGGGGTTTATGTTATTTCACAGTCTTCCAAAGTTTAAAAAATTAAGGTCGATGGGTAAGTTGAAGGTAGTAGAGCAGGGGCAAAAAAGCACTAAGGGCACAAGCTCAAAAATCAGACGGGTTGAGGTGGGTGTGGTGGCACATGCCTGTAACCCCAGCACTCTGGGAGGCTGACACAAGAGGACAAAAGTTCAGATCCAGCCTGGGCAACTTAGAGACTTAGGGAGACCCTGTCTCAAAAAAAAAAATACATACATATATACACACACACACAAAGGCTGGGGATGAAGCTCAGTGTGAAGGCCCAGGGTAAATCCTTAGTACACACACACACACACACACACACACACACACCTATTTCAAATCATTGTTCCATAACCTGTGTGCTATCTTTAGGTAAACTGTATGCCTTGGTGTCTGCTACATGCTAAATATTGTACAACTCACAGAGGATCCCAACATAAGTAGAATAAACTTGAATGTTACCTTCAATGTGTTGGGAAAACAAATATTAATGAAATAATCACAAATCTTGTAAATTGGGAATTGTGTTAACTGCTATGAAAAATAACAGATGGTGCTAAGAAGAACATATGATATTATGGGAAATTCGATCTATTTGGAAAGGCCGAGAAAGGGCTTCTCAGGGCTAGGAGTGTAGCTCAGTGGTAATGTGCTTGCCTAGCATGTGCAAGGGCCCTGGTTCAATCTCTAACAACAAAGACAGAAGAAGAAGGAAGGAAGGAGTTGGGTATGGTGGCGCACACTTGTAATCCTAGCACTTGAGAGGCTGAGGCAGGAAGATTGTAAGTTCGAGACCAGCCTGGGCTACAAAGTGAGCTCAAGGCCAGCCTGAACTGCATAGGGAGACCCTGTCTCAAAAAGACAGAAAAAAAAAAAAAAAAAAAAAGAAGAAAGGAAGGAAGAAAAGAAAGAAAGAAAGAGAAAGGCAGACAACCCTTTTCTAATGAAGTGACCAGAAAGCTGAGAGCTAAAAAATTATTAAACGTTAACTAGGGAAAGGAGAATGTGAGGAATATTCCAGACAGAGGAAACACCCTCTCACTGAGAGGCTATTGATTTAGTTGTAGCACAGGGAAAGGACCTACGCAGCACGGCACTGGCATCAGCGGTCACAGCAGGGCTGTGTGAATCCAGTTGTGAATATTCCGTTGTGCACACAGATACCCGGCCAGTGAAGAAGCGAAAGCTGCAATCTGAACCAAGGACCTGAGGGCGGGGAAAAAGGATAGAGGTACAGGGCAGCTATCTGGAAGTACAGGTGCCTTTTGATGATTCCCACTTAAGCTGGCAGTGACCTTGGGTCACAGAATTAAGATTTTAAACCTCAGAAACATCAAATCATGGCGAATATAGTATGGGCTTAAGGTGGGATGTGGGACCTAACCAAGTAGAAAGCCCTCCAATTTGATGGCAGTATTTGCCTCATCCAAGCACGTGATCTGGCCCCAGGCACCCCAACCCGCACCCCACCCCACCCCCAAAGCTATTTCTCCAGTGTCTCAGCTCAGCCTTTAGGTGGGGCTGAGGGCAACACTGTTTTTCCACTGGAGGACGTGAGTCAGTGAACAGTGAGGTTCCACTTAATCACCACCAAAAAACAAGGTTCTTAAATCAGAAGCTAAAAAAGTAAGGAAGTGATTAATACAAAAGTCAGGGTAGTGATTATCCCTTGGGCAGGGTGGGGTGGGCAGGCCAGGAGGCCTGATGAGAAAGGGGTACACAGGAGGCTTCTAGGGTCTGACAGTGCTCTATTTCTTGACCTGGGTTGGGGCTGCATTGGTGACGGCTGCTTTATAATAATACGTACACAGTTTATGTACTTTTCTAAATGTATTTTATAGCTCACAATATAAATAGCTTAAAAAATACAAACCATAAAAAGTTCTTAAGCAGGCAAAACAAGACTAGAATTAGTATTATTAAAAGATCATTTGGGTGTTGAAAAGAAAATTAATTCAAGGCGGGACTAGGTTAGAAACAGAGAAACCAGTTAAGAGTAGCCGCTGTAAAGCCGGGCGTGGTAGCGCATGCCTGTAATCCCAGCACTCGGGAGGCTGAGGCAGAAGGATCCTTGGGAGTTTGAGACCAGCCTGGGCTACAAAGTGAGCTCAAGGCCAGCCTGAACTACAGAGTGAGACCCTGTCTCAAAAACACACAAAAAAACCCCAAAAAACAAAAAAGAGTAGCTGCTGTACTTTGGTGAGCGATTATAAGGACGTGGAGGGCAGGCGCAGGTCCTACCAGACACAGGAGCTAGCACTTCCTCTTTACCTCCTCCCAGACAGCTCGCCCCAAGGGCTCAGACTGCCTGGCCAGTAGCCCTAGGCACCTTTTTCATGATACTGTGATATTACCTGAGCTGAGATGACACAGCATGTTCTATCACAATATCTAATCAATCAATCACAGTATCTAATCATTGAGATGATAGAGTATTTTCTATTATCAAAATTTTAGTTCTAGAGGGCAAAAGCTTTCATTCACTTTGTTCACTATTATATCCTTGGTACCTAGATCCAAAACTGGTTTATAGTTACATGCTCAATAAGCATTAATGAATGACCACTTTTTTTTGAAATGGGGTCTCAGTAAATTGCTCAGGCTGCTCTTGAACTCAGTCTTCCCCGCCAGAGCCTCCAGAGTAGCTGGGACTACAGGTGTACACCAGCATGCCCGGCTCATAGCTATTACTGATATTTAATCATCACAACAATCTTGTAAGGCTGGGTAAAACCTAAATTATTATCCTCATTTTATAAGTTAGAAACAGATTTGAGAGATTAAGGAATATGTCAAACAGCCGATAATTTGATGACACAATCAGTTCTCTTGTTTATTTTCCCCCACTTCTCACCTAAGGAGCTGAAGTTTAAAGTTCTCATAGCTCTAAAACACCAACTAGAAGCATTTCACAACACACGATAGGTACTCTCAGGCATCTTGTGTTATCTGATGTGCCAGGTTATAAGATGAATGAGGTGACCCAACTTCCATTGCATCAATAACCACGGTTCCCTCAGAGGACTGCTACTGCTTCTCTGGGTAATCAAATCCACCTGACCTGGGGCTACCTTGCAGTCCTGTTTCTCTCCACATCCCTCACTGTCTCTACACCTGCATCTCTAAGCAGTAGAAGTTCAGCAGACCTATCACTACAAAAACACATGTGCAATTTTTTTTCTATAGGAAAAAGAAAAGAAGAGGAAACTGTGGGAAGCTGAGGCAGGAGGATTGCAAATTCAAGGCCAGTCTAGGCTACATAATGAGGCCAGCCTGGACTACAGAGCAAGACCCTGTTTCAGTACCACTCCTCAAAAAAAAAGTGAAAGAAAGAAAAGAAAAAAGTGGTAATGGGTAGTTTTGGTGTTCTTCAAAAACATCTGGCATCCAAATGAAATCTCTTGAAGAGACTAAAAACATAATGTTTTATAAAAAGTTAATCTTGGTCTCTTTCCTCTTCATATTAATTACCATTGTAATTTGAAGCATAAGCCACAACTCAGATACTTAGAAAGTGCTGGATGTTCAGGTAATATTAATTTTTATACATCTGGAGTTGTGTATGCCTCCTGTAGGATTCCTAGTCAAACTCCAAAAGACCCGCCAAAAGAAAGAAAAATTAAAACCAGTATTTTTGAGAAAACACCTAAAATATACTCTAAACACTAGGAGAAATAAAATTTTTAGGTTACTTTCTTCTCCTCCATCGTCTGATATTTGCTTTCTCCCTAGAGCAATTTGGCCCAGGAGACTTAGACCAGCACAGCTTGTTAAATAGTGTACGCAACTACTCCCAGAGTGCCACACACAGGACTCACCAGAAATTCATTTGCAAGCTTCTCTTTGTTCGTTTTCTTGTTCTGGCCCTCATCCAGGAACTTCTGCAGAATTTCTCGCTGGTCCATGCTGCACAGCAAGAGAGGGAGGCTGGGAGCGGGCTGAGCGAGGGCATGTCAAAAGTGTGTCATGGCCGGGACAACACCAAAGCCTCTGCTGCCGCCTGAGCACAGCACGCTGAAGGCTGTGGTTTACTGACTTATATCACAAGCCCTAGAGGAAATTTGTACGAAACCAGCCTCTGTGGTCACACAACAAAGTCATCAGCACACTCCAGGGCCCTAGTGCCTTCCTTCTCAACAAAGGAACCTGCTGCAGCTCAAGTTTTTTAACAAACAAAATGCTAACCAGAACATAAAGTGTGGTCTGCTTCGCTCTGAGACTGTTCCACGCCATCACCTTTAAGCAAAACTCACCCAAGCAGAATTACAGTTCTCACAGACAAAGCCTGCCTCTTCCCATTTCCCCTGCGAGCACAAAAGCCCTGTCGATGCAGTTTCCTAGGTCCCAAAATGAACTCTGCAAAGTTCAGTTAGGCCCAGGAAAGGAGAGAGACGAGTCACACAGCTGCTACCCGGACTGTTCTCTCCTAAGCTTCCTGTCAGCAGGATCGATGGCAAACTTCTGTTCATCAGAGACGGCATCTTTTTTCAAGACGGTTTCTTTTTTCGCCTCTGTGGTACTGAGGGTTGAATGCAAGGCCTTGTGCTTGTTAGGCTGTTGCTCTACCGCTGATCTGCATTGCTAGCCCTTCAAGTACAAAAAAGTTTTTCTTTTTGAGATAGGTTCTCCCTAAGTTTCCAGGCTGGCCTTGAACTTATGATATTCCTGCCTCAGCCTCATGAGTAGCAAGGATCATAGGCTACCATGCCCAGCTTAATTTGAACTTTTTTTTGTTTGTTTGTTTGGTTTTTCTCCGGTACCGGGAACCAAACTCATGACCTTGCGCTTGCCAGGCAGGCGCTTTGCCGCTGAGCTAAATCCCCAGCCCCTAATTTGAACATTTAAGTCTGCTATATTGACCTCAAATTCTTCCCTGGATAAGGTAAAGTCAGGGGCTTCTAACAGTCCCTTCTCTTTGAGGACAAGAGAAATCCTGACCACCATTAAGGGAAGTACACTCGACTTCAGCATCTCTTCAACCTCCCTGCTGTTTTGTGAGCTTCACTTGGGTTCTGAGCCGTAAGACCAAGACCGTGCTGCTCTACATACAATCAGGAGATGCTGGCCCCAACAGCAGCACCTGACATGGCAGTCATCCTACTATCCTCAGATTATAACACTGGCAAAGTGTGGAGCAACAAACAGAAAGTAAATCAACTACCTCGCTGACAACAGTATATCTTTTAGGTCAAAAAGCCTGAAGAGAACTGATGCATGCTTATATTCCCAGCTATTTAGGAGGCTGAGGCAGGAGGATTGCTTGAGCGCAGGAGTTTGAAGCTACCCTGAGCAACACAGACAAATCTCATCTAAAAACAAAAATGAAAATAAACCTGAAGAATGGTTTCTATCAATGATATTTTTACTTTGCAACCTGTCTTGGAAAAATTGTTTCAGGGGGCCGGCAATATAGCTCAGCAGCACGATGCCTGCCTGGCAAGC